CTAGAATGAGTGACAGTGATGCTGAAACCCAGTTTCTCAGGTGACATTGTGACCTAGAAGCAAGTTAAATATGTTTTCTTCACCAGACGAACTAATAGGAATGTTAATAAGTTTTCTGTAATGTGAAGTCTGRCTTTATGAGTTTCTTGTAGCTTTTTGTAAGAGTCAGCAAACCTGGTTAAGTCGATAACTGGGCATGGATGAATAACTGAGCAAAACCAGGAGGCAGGCAATTTGGAAAAATCTTTTTTTGCTAGTGATACAAAATATTCAAGATAGTAWGGGGAAGGGCTAATGGAAGGGGAAATGGGAGATTTAATAATTATCCTAATAATTATCCTAGAATATCATTTAATAATTAGATGATATTCATTACTGGTAAAACCAAAGTGATGCAAGTGAAAAAAAGCTGTCCTATGTTATCATCCAAAACGAGAGGATTTGAGCAGGCTATTAATGCTGAGGAATGAGACCACGCAGTTCCATGATAACATCAACTTGTTGCTAGGCAGCAGATCAAAAAGCTAATGAAATACTAGGAATTATTAGAAAATGAACMGAGAACAAAATAGGACATAATTATGGCAATGCATAAATTACATGGCTCACCCAAAAGTTGAGTATCATGTGCAGCTCTTCTCCTGTCATCTCAAAATAGTTACATTAAAGCTGAGAAAGGCTGAGGAGAGAGCAGTGTGTGTGGCAGAGTTGGTTCTCTATAGGGCCAAATTAACTAGACTGGAGCTCTTCAAGAAAGAAAATCTGGGAATGAGTATATGACCAGAAGTGTGTAGCTGATTTATATGCAAATTGGTACACAGCAAACCACCAGTGATCAGTAAATATAGTATGAAGGCAGAGAGAAGTATTGGTTATGCTTGAACTCTTTTTCTTTATTTTTGTTTGTTGTGACTTGTGGTCACTCATAGAGTTAAAATACAGGATGATCCTGAAATTATAATCTGACTGTTTTTACAGTTTTCCAATGTAAAAATAGTTTGTGATAGAATTAATACCGTGTTATTTCAGATAAATCCTAAAAACTGTTATCTAATACATTCATCTTTTCATTTTCTAATTTTTCATTACAGGAATAAGTAAATTTTTCCAAGTCTCTGGTTGTCACATGAATTTTCAGAAATGGTTTTTAGCATCAAAACATAACATCATAAACCTGTAAAAATACCCTGCTCAAAAATATTCCACCTAAGCAAAAGCATGTTTTGGCTGTAGAATTTTCTTCCCTTTACAAGAAATCTTAATTCTCAATAGAACTAAAGTGCTTTAACATCCCTCTGTCAGGGAGAAAAAAAAAAAAAAATTTATCACTTACATTAAAGGATCCTTTATTGATATGTGTATAGGAACTGTAAAACTGTTAAATGGGAAAATAATTCTTTGAGTGTTAGTTCAATATTGGCAGCTTGATAACTGTGATTCCACAGCACTAAAATTCAAAAGACTTTTCTAGAAGGTGTTCTATAAAATCAAAACTTTTGTTTATTCAGACTTTGTTTCTATTATACAGATATCCATTTGGAAGAATTTCCCACCCTACTTCACTGTGCAGCCAGATTTGGGTTAAAGAACCTTGCAACATTTCTGCTCAGCTGTCCTGAGGCCACACGGGCTTGCAAAATAACGAATAAATATGGAGATGATCCAGAARGCATCGCGAGGAAACACGGGCACAAGGAGCTAAGAAAATTAATCCAAGAATTGTCAGTAAGTCCATACGCTTTCCTCATGTCATCTACAACCAGGGAACTATGATGTTGCACTACTGAGATCCCATAGTACCRCTTCTTGTACAGACTAAAAGTTGYAGTCCTTCTGTCTGAAAATATTGTYGTACCCTGTCTCGGAAAGAGGGGTTAAAATGGGGTAAATTTGCTTTCTTTGTGCASTGCCCTAATGGAAATCAGAGCTTTTTTGCTGCTTGGTTTTTAGGCGTGTAATGGAAAGGAGAAAAGTGAGCCAGAAATACCTTACGTGGCCTGCTTAGATTGGTGCTTTCAGCACCCAAACAATGGTTGTATTGGAAGTAGTCTAGACCAGCTGTCTAGAGTAGGAGATAAAGACTTCTTTAAAAGGGACTATGAACTCTCAGTTTTTATGAACTTGCTGCCATTCTTCACTGTTCAAAAAAGAGTTCTTTCTCTGYCTTGGCTGTTCATGCCACTGTGAAGGAAGGGTAAMTTTTACCATGGAGTAAATCTTTCTTCAACTAGGTATGCAAGAGGGGTTTGAGGCAATATTGCCTTTTCACATGAAAGGTAATAGTAAAATAAGGGTCTCTGCGTAGTTTTACCATGCAAATTATTGCAAATAAAACCTAGCAGAATTTCAGTAAAAGAACAATGTACCATAGTAACATTTGAGAGCTTTAACCTATTTTAACCCATTTTTTGTGCTAAGTGTAGTATGTACAGTATGTGTCTACAGCTTTTGATACTGCAATTGAGATCARATGTAACTGAGTAAAATATTATCCTCTTTACCATCCAGCATAAAAGTGTCCACCAAACTGTGCTGTCTTCCTGGATCACCATGTCCGTAATTTCATATTTAACAATTTCTAAGTGCCTCAGTTGTCTCACAGTCACCCTTGCACTGGTCAGAAACCTCCTGYCAATAGCAGTCTGATGTGTAAAGTCAGGCTTTTCAGTTCTTGGAGTTAACTAGTTTGGCTTGAAGAGGATGGAACTGTATTTCCTAACCTCCCTATCCATATATCTGGCTAGGCGCTGTCTTTGTATGGTCAGATTCTCCCAGYAGAGCTGTGCGTGAAAGATTGGTAAGAAGAGGCAGAATATGAATAAGGTGATACCTAACTCTTGGTGAAATACCTTGATTTCTTTTCTAATATGGTCACATGAGATGAAGGGTTGAAATATGATTGGAAAACCATATTGAGAATATGGTTTGTGTTGATAATTTTTCATGTTTAATGATAATGATTAATGTCCATAGGACATTTATTATTTATACTAGTGTTGTAGAAACTCAACTTACRTGACTGTTGTGCACTGTACATGGAACTGGAAGCTTCAGAAAATGGGTAATTTTGGTTTTTATCCTAATGAACTCAAGCTCTGTGATTTGGAGCTTCTGCAGGAGAAGACATAAACACAGATAGTGCAGATAGACTCAGCTGATGTACAGTGAGAGAGTGCTTTGCACTTCTACAATCTTTTTATATTTTAAGATACTTCATCAGAGATGGAAGGCAGTGCTTTTGAGCGTGATATATTTCACTCTAAAAAGTGTGTAAAGTGTGCACATACCTCTGGTTAGCTTTTCTCTATTAGTAAGGTGATTAATTGTCCTAGTAAAGTCTTAAGTATAAATTTTTCAGACTGAAACATGCATTTAAAATGGCAACTGAGTTCTACAATTCAATTTTTCCTTAAAACCCTTATTTCATGGTACATACAAGTTATTGTTTGCATGTAGACAGTTATCAGTAATTGTTCTCTGCTTTCCCAAGTGTGAATACTTACATTTGTATTCAGTGCTGAAGTAAAAAACTACTCTATGAACATGGTAGAAGTGTGTAGTCTGGTTGGGATGTGCAGTTGTACTATCTGTTTTCAGTTGAATCTAATGGTGTGGCTTACTAAAGCAGCACAAGTAAAAATCYGAGTGTGTTTCAGTTCTGCCAAATGTGTAATATGATATTATAGAAATGTTAGCTCTAACCACTGGAAGAAAAATGGCTTATTTGTGTCCCCTGTAATAGTGCACTTAAGAACAAAAACACTTGCTGTACTTTTGTAATTGATGGGGATGTGGAAAAGAAATACTTTCATGTCTCTGAGCCAAGAAGAATTTAGTTTGTTCCTGGAACTTCCCATTACAGCTGTAGGATTGAAATTCCTTATTATTACAATGGAAGTACTTTTACACTTGGCCTACCTCTCGCTGTTTTAAAAGTGTTACTTGTGTTTGGCTGTTCCTTTAATGAATAGCCCCAAAATATTGACCATAATTCATTGCTTCTATCTTAAAGAGCAGTAGGGTTCCAGAAAAATGAATGCATTAAAACATGCATTAAATTTGTTGAAAATCCTGAATAATAKCTTTCATTTCCTGGAGAAAGACCAGAAAAACCCAAAAGTGTTGTTTTGGGCTGCAGAATTCTTAGGTGGGTAAGAATTCCCTGAGATGATCAGAGAGGGAGCATCAAAAGATCAAGTGTCAACAACTCAACTACTATTTCTGCCTTCAAGCACAGGGTGRTTTTGGTGTCTGCTGAGCAGATCAGTGCTCAGGGCTTTTAGATGCTGCAGCTTTGCTGGTAAGGCCCTTGAGCCCCCTGCCCAGCAGCCTTAGTGGRAAGGTGCTCATGGCTCTATTGGCAGAAGTGAGCCACAGGAGCTGGCTGTTTTGCACGCTGGGTCACCTGAATGACACAAGTTCTCTGTCCTTGCTTAAAAGAAAAACTTCTTTTCTGAAATTGGACACTGCCAATGTTGATGTAGGGAGTGTTACAGCCACAGCAGACAGATCTGGAGTGCCTGSTGGGTATGCTGGGAACTGACCTCCTGATGTGCCAAAGCAAAGCCCAAGGGAATGATCCCACATCATTAGGCATGTTTCGCAGCTATATTAATGCAGAAGGAAGAGATTTTTCTGCTTTTAGTGCCAGTGTTAAGTACAGGATCATTAAATGCTGAAACCTCACTCCCGTTAGCATCCTGTAGATATCTGTGCTTCCACCAGTGGTAGTGTCTGCCTTTTCTGCCAGAAATCCTGCATTTCAAACACTCCTTGAAATTGTCTTGTCTAGAGAGGGAACAATGCTTGAGTGATTTGTATTAAAGGTACTAAATTGGTGAAATTGTGTCTGAAGGGGTYGTTAGTGGGGATTATAATGAAAACTCAGTTTCAAATCTGCCAGCAGTTTATTAGGTTTTTTGKTTTTTTTKKTTTTTTTGCATTTTAGCACAAAACCACCTCAATGGGCATTCATTTCTAATTTCTGCGTGTTTCATTATAGTTTCGATGAAGTAATTCTCTCTTCTGTAGCATAAAAGAAGGATATCACTTAACAGTCTGCKATAACATCCTGAATTGTTAAGTCTTCTGCTTTTTATTCCTCTATACCTTTAAGTATTTCAATGTTTTCCACAATTGCTTTTAGGCTGTGCTGCTTGAATTGAGTGTGTCAATTTAAAACTAGTGAGAGATATTTGGTGGAATACTGACAGAAATCACTGTCTCAGTATCTCTGAGCTTTTTGAGGCTCAATTGGTTCAGCTGATGCTCAAATGCCAGTAAGAAATGCTTTCCATTTAAAGGTCAAAGCATGTCTGCAGTCAGCTGTTACAGTACCCAGGACAGGTAATACCTTGTTCAGTCACAGTAGTTTTTTGAGGTATCAGAACTGTGTTTCAGATGTATGCCTTCTCTCTGTGCTCTGTCCCTGAAAGCTGCTTTGACACTAGCTTGTTCTTCTTGCTGCCAGCTGTGGCTTTCTAAGTCTATGTAAAAATTCTACCTYCAGATTATAAAGAAATCACTTAAATTATGTTCTTAACTAGCACACAAATGAAGACTTTAAAAAAGAATGCTTAGAAATCTTCTCTCATCTAGTTGAGTAATGAGGGGAGTATGTTCTATTTGTGACCTGACCATTTTAAATTGGAGGTCACACTGGTGGCCTGTTTAGGCATTTATGCTTTGGCTTGGGAGTAATTCTTTGTTCCGGCACTTTGGGTTTCTATTTTCTCCCTTTTAATAAGAGCTGTGGAGCTGAATGTGTCAYAGTTAGGAAGATTACTGTGTACCACTGTAGTATATATCACAGGTTCTAAAAAAAACTAACAATTCAAAAAGCATTTTATTGGTTGGTCAATGCAAATAACTTCTGATTGCTGGCTTCAGCCTTTAAAGCAGATTCCTAGGGGTGACATAAATGCTATTTAAATATAAAAATTGAAACAGTCATTTCATGTTGTCACCACACATTTGAGAGAGRACAAATTAATTTTTATTTTTAAAATACCTTCTGACATTTYAGAATTGTTTACCAGAAGTCCATGGCAGAAAATGCAGGTTAATTGAACTTTTTTTAACCTGCCCTGTAGCCAGGCCTGTAACAATCTGCAGCAGAACAGGAGACTGTTAAAAAAGTCTTCTTCCTCTGCCACTAGCAAAACTGTCTGGATTTCTTCTTTAACATAATTTTCTGTCTGCCTGCTTCAGGCATCCCTTAGGCAGCTATTGAAAATATAATAGGCATTTAATTCTGTACCTATTGGTGGAAATTCCTTTATAATGGCACAGACTGAGATGGCCCTGCATGGCTGTTGACAAGAAGCTTGTTTTCTTTCCAGAAGGGAAAGTTACAGCAATTCTTTCTGACTCTTTTGAAGTGCATCCTGCAAAGTCTAGATCCGTAGTTCTGGAGTTCACTGCTATTAGAAGTTCTCTCAGAGGCAGAAAGAAACACAATCTTACAGCTGGTCCTAATTTTCACTCASAGCCTGTTTTATGGAAGATGTATGTTTTAGATAGCGGGAGAGGGAGGAAAGAAGATTTTTTTTCCCTGAAATGCCAAGCTATATTTTTATAAATCATAGCAAACTGAAAGGACAGGCAGAAATGTAGGTTGAGAAGTAATTCATCATTGTACACCTCTCCCCTCTCATCTCTTACTTTGAAGTGCATGGCTGAACCAGAATAGAGAATCTCTTGAAGTATCTTCAGCTTGATGAAAT